CTGAGGCTGTGTATTGATAAAAACTAATTTTGTTGATAGTTGGGGTTTTTGCCAGCAGAAAACAGTGAGCTCATATTGGGCGAGGATGTTTATTGAGGTTAAAGCCATTGAACGATACAGATAAATGTAGGTCAATACAGGTCTTTCATTGAATTATAGATATCAGTCGTGGTTCACTGCTGATATGAATGTTTTAGATTTTGTTCTACAGTGTCTTGCTTTAAATCGGAAGTCAGGCTTTTTTAATACGTAAATGAAAGAAAAATAAATAAATAAAATAAATAAATAAATTTAATATGGTAATAATAACATGTAATAATTATACAAAAAGGAATAATAAAAATAAAAAAGTAAATAAAGAAATCAAAAAAGCACTTCAGGTCTGCGTGTTCAAAATAGTTTAAGTATCAGAAGTAATAATAAAAAAATTAAAGGGGACCTATCATGCAAAATGCACTTTTGTACGTCTTTTATACATGAATATGTGTCCCCGGTGTTCCAGGGAACTCACCAAGTGTCAGAAAACACAACCCTCTCTATTTTCCTCCATACCCAAATCTTTAAAAAAGGGGCTGCAACGGATCTGATAAAAACTGATCCAGATTTGAACACTGTCCTGACATCAGGACGGTGGCGCTACGGCTATTGGGCCAACTCCACCAATCAGGAGGAGACAGCCACGGCCATTGCCGTTCGAAAGCGCTGGAGACGCTGCAGTACATATGCCAGGCCAGTAGATGGTGCTGTTCTCACAGAATCAGCCCTTGCTAAAACAGGGGTAACATTTTTCAAATTGAGCGAAATGAGGCATGGCTAAAATGGATGATCTGTTTGGTATTTTGAAAAAAAAAAAGTATAAATATGCCTTATATAGGTATGGTCCTACACTATATTATTCAAATATAGCATGATAGGTCCACTTTAAGTAAAGAAAATAATATCAGTATAGAAAACAGTAGAAAAATCCCAACAAACGGGCAAAAACCTCAATGTGAAAATCCATCATTTTAAAACAGCTAAAACTGATTTAATATTGTTGCTCTACCAATCAGCCCTGTCAGTGTCAGCAGAGGGTCTTTCATGTCTGTCCTAAAGCAAGCAACGCTTTAAACCCATAATATTCATATTTCTTTATGGAAATAGAAAACGGCAGTGGTCCCAGGTGGAATAAGTGGCATCTATAAAATGTGCGCTTGAACAAGGATGGTGTCATAAAGAGTGTCTCAGTATAAGGAGCCTCTCGGGGTTCAGCCATGCAAACCCACATTTCTTACTCAACTGGGAAAGATCTGAGAAAATGCTCTGCAGGCGCGGGCCAAGGATCTGCTCCGCTGATATATTATCTTCATAATCCAGAGCCAAAGCTCACCCTTTAAAGAAGACATATGATGCTCATTTTCAGGTTCATATTTGTATGTAGTGTCTCTACTGAAACATGTCTCCATGCTTTAATGTTCAAAAAGCTCTTTATTTTCCTCATACTGCCTGTGCTGCAGCACCTCTTTTCACCCTCTGTCTGAAACCAGAGCCCAGTCTGCTCTGATTGGTTAGCTGGCCTGCTCTGTTGGGATTGGTCAACCGCTTAGAGATGTCCCGCCCCTTTGCCTATCACGTACAAGGGAACTTTGGTATTTTAAACTTTGCAGACCATTTACATGCACAAAAACATAATACTGTGATAAAAACAACACCTTGCTCTTGCCAGTTGGTCCAAAGATGCCTATCCCAGCTTTAACACATTATATATTTGTTGTTAAATGTGTACAAATAACAAGGAAGTGTAAAATTGTCAGCTATTTATCTCTCTTTCTATCCATAAAATTAGGTTTAAAATTATAATTTGTTCGACAAAGGGTCTCCTGTCATCTCAATAATGTGCAAGGGTGCTGCTGACCACCGAGGGAAATCAATTATCATACAGTAACACAACACAAATTGAATTCAGGGTCTGATATCACATGGATTTGCAAATGTAATCTGCATTGATTTGGTAAATTATTCCATTAAGCTCAGGCTCTGGTAATTGCTTTCTCTCTCACACAGATACAGTATGTAAGCTATACACCTGGGCTGTATGTATAATAACTGTCTAAGCGGTTTTCCAACAGCACATTGGGTGGGAGGCATTTATCTCGGCTTAATGTGGAAAGAAGAACACGGTTCATTTGGAGCCCATTCAACCATAACCGCCTGATTGAGTCAGACTGAAACACTAATTCTCAGAGGGAATGAAAAGTAATTTAATGTGGTAAAGGTAGTCGCCGAGCAACCATAAATGAATAAATACAAAAGGTGTTTGACGAGGAATGATTGAAAAGAATGAAGGTAATCAGAGGTGGTAATCACGTTTGTCAGGGGATGAAGGAATGAGTACGAAGCTTTTCTTGTCAGGCGATGAGTGAGTATTATATTTGAATCAATGTATCAAAGGCAGGGGAAGAGATTCAGAGGGTTTACGTGCAATAATAGGACACAAAACCAGACTATATCATCATAAACTATGTAGATTAGGGAAGACTGGGCTCTGGTTTTAGACAGAGGGTGAAAAGAGGTGCTGCAGCACAGGCAGTATGAGTGAAATAAAGAGCTTTTTGAACATTAAAGCATGGAGACATGTCACAGTAGAGACACTAAATACAAATATGAACCTGAGAATGAGCAGAATATACAGAGATACAACACGTTTATTAGCAAGCTTTAGACGAGCTGGTAGGTGAATATTCAGGTCCTAGTTAGCCGTTTCTTTAAGCTAAGCTAAGCTAATTGGCTGCTGTCTGTAGATATCTATCATACAGAAATAAGAGAGGTGTTGTTTTTCTAATGTAACTCTCAACAAATATGGGAAAATAATATGTTGAAAACCACAGTATTGGATGCACGGCCTTATCGATCTGACTTCTGAGTAGCAGTTTTTATTTGGCACTAAAAAATCTTGTAAATTGCATCATGTGGGAGGCGTGTGGCGCAGTGGGCTAGTGCGTTGGTGTTCGGATCAGGGGGTCACAGGTTCAAACCCCACTGCAGTCAGCATGTCGTTGTGTCCCTGGGCAAGACACTTCACCCCAAATTACTCCTGTGGGGATTGCCCACAGTATTGAGTATGTAAGTCGCTTTGGATAAAAGCGTCTAACAAGTGACATGTAATGTAATCATGAATACTTTAATCCAAATACACGCTGACAGACCGTATCCCCATTAATATGCACAACTGATGATGAACAGTTAAAGCATGCACAGTGTTGTGATCATATTGGCAGGTTCACTTCTTTACAAACATGTGATACAAATATGTAATGTAGTTTTGCATTGAAGGAACTTGGCGTCTGTGGGTGTGAACAATCAGAAAGTGTTTTATCTGTCCTTCTTCTGACATCTAGTGGACACTGAGAGAAGTGGTGGTGTGTCTTTAAAATGATTTACTGTTAGTGGTCGTGACATCTTTCCTCAGGGGATTAATCATTATGAACGTTTTATGTTTAAGTAAGTGTTTCATTGATCTCTATTATCATTAAAAGCAAACTATACTATACATATGATATACTGTTTCCCCCTGTGGAAGATTCTTATCCTCTGCTCACTTCTGATACTGCCAGACCTTTTAATACTTTTATGTTCACTTTAAACCTTTAAATCCATACAGAGGAGAGTAAAAATGACTCTTTTGCTTTAAGATTTCAAAATGTTTTGTCAAGCAGACACACAGATAAAATGACAATGACAAGATAAATTTCAACTTTATTAATTCACAAAAGGCTTATCCAGTGGTTATCAAATTGAGCATAGTCCATATTTTAACATCTAGAACTGTACAAAGACAACAAAAGGAGACCAAATCTAAGGGTAAAACCGAAGGAGAAAACAAAATAACACTGATATTTGAAAAAATGTTGGATTTACAAATTGACAATTTTAAATAATGTTAAATCTGAGTTTTTTTTATTGTGTAAATTGATTGGTTTAAACAGAAGTCATGTGATAAACAACGGTTTACATTCATTTGGAGTTCATGAGTGACACTTTCTTTTCAGTAGTAGACCAACGTGCAAACATTTTGAGGTTTTCTGAAAAAAGATGTACCTCAGAGTTTCAGTCCGTTTTCACTGACAGTAGTACAAAAGATATGCTCAGTAAAGCTGACAGAAAAAGAGAAGGAGAGATCTGTATCTCCAGTTTCTCTCCAATGACACGTTTCCAAAATAAATAGGTGACCATTATGTCTTATTAAAGGTGTCTTGGGATATGTGACTGGACATAGGTGAGCCCAAATCACACATTTAAAATACATTAACAATAAATAACAGCATTCGCTCAGTGCAAAACTACACAATAGCCGAAAATAAAAACGTTTCCTGCATCGCCAAAGAAGACTGTAAATGGTCGGTTATTATACGATGAACCCTTGCTCAAAATCATGTTTTCAAAGCAATCCACTTGTTCTTGAAAATGTCATTAATCAATATTATAACCGATTCATATGTGAAGTGATTTCAGAACAAGACGAAGGACACACTGAGGGACATGTGCAGATCTTTTCCTCTTTAAATGAAGCAGAGGGATTTTAACTTAACTTCACCACGTACGTAAAATGTATTTAAAGAGGTCTGTGAATAGAATAATCGACATAGAAATCCTCAGATAAGGCAAATGTTTTTTTCTTTTCTGTCCATTAGACATTATTTGCATACAACTGAAAGAAAAAAATACCAAGGGTACCAAAGCCCCCGTTCTTAGGGTTCATTTAATGTTTCAGAGACGATAACGTATTCTGTTGAAAGCAAATCATTTCAACGGACACCTCTCGGCCGTGGATAGTGTCCTCCTGCAGAGGGCTGCATAGCAGCTGAGGAGGCATCAGGTGGTCATAGTTCAGTGTGTGTGTGTGTGTGTGTGTGTGTGTGTGTGTGTGTGTGTGTGTGTGTGTGTGTGTGTGTGTGTGTGTGTGTGTGTGTGTGTGTGTGTGTGTGTGTGTGTGTGTGTGTGTGTGTGTGTGTGTGTGTGTGTGTGTGTGTGTGTGTGTGTGTGTGTGTGTGTGTGTGTGTGTGTGTGTGTGTGTGTGTGTGTGTGTGTACTATGTATGAGCCAGCTGAAGCTCCTCCAGTCCGTGTCTACCCAGGTGATATCTGGCCAAATCTTTCCTAGTCACCAGACCAACCACCTGAAAACCAAATGTGTGAAGTCAGAATAATTGTCAGCACCAACAATGTGATCATAACTTAAATCAATGCATTAAGAGGTGTTTGTGTGTGGTTTCTGCCTTTTCTACAAACACACACTCTTACCCTGTTCACATCATCCGCTACCACCAGGTGTCTGAGTCCCAGCGCTCTGAACAGCTTAAACACACGAGGAAGAGAAGTTTCCTGCAAACACAACGTGTCATTACACAGTTTAAATGTAGTTATAAATGTTATGTATTCATATAAAATATAAACATAAATGTTGGCCATGGGGAGAACTTTTTGAACATACATAACATTCATCTGTTTGCAACTCATATATCAATATTCCAATTACTGTATATAGACTATTCTGCACTGTTTCTATTATATTATATTTTATTTTATATACTTGTACTATTTTATCTGTTTTATTGTGTTGCGCTGTTGGAGGAGCCTGTGACCTAAGATTTACATGACAATAAAAGCCTTGAAACTTGTACCATAGAGTGGGGCAGTGACGCGTCCTAAAACCCGGAAGTAAGCTGCGCTCGGGTTCCCTCGACAAAAAAGCAATGAGATTTCTCCATAGGATTTTGGAAAATAGCTCGAAATAAGGTCTGTGGGAAACGAACCTGTTTGATAAATGCACGTTTTGTTCAGCCGGATAATCTCATCGATTAGATTTATGATTCGAAAACAAAACGTGCATTTATCTAACGGGTTCATTTTCCACAGACCTTATTTCGAGCTATTTTCCAAAATCCTATGGAGAAATCCCATTGCTTTTTTGTCGAGGGAACCCGAGCGCAGCTTACTTCCGGGTTTTAGGACGCGTCACTGCACCACTCTATTGGTTGCCATTTTGAGCACATGTATTATGTATATCTACATAAATCGTGTGTGTGTTACCAGTGGCACAGTGTAAGGCGTTGCGTTCATGAACTCGGTGAGGTCCATCATGCACTCCCTCTCGTCCTGGGACACGTGGATGCTCTGGATGGGGGGGAAGCGGGGGTACGCGTCCCTGAAGTCCTTCAGCTGGAGCTTCCTCTGAGTCAGCCGGGAGCGAGCCAGCTCCACAAACACCTGCCGGGACACAGGAGGAACTGTGAGCCACGCTATTTAAAACATCACAATAGTGAAGAACTTGTATTTTTGACGTGAAAGGAAATATGAATATAAAAAAATAAAATATAAAAATATAAAGAAACGATTAAAATAAATAAAAAAGCAGATAAAATAGTTATTGAATGAATAATTTGAAAATATTACATACAGTGTAAATAGCAGTATCAAGTGCCTTTAATCCAAAAGCAGTTCTTTTTTAAGTGAAAGAAAGAAATATGCAAATATAAACAAATAACTAATAAATCGAACATTAATTGAAATACATTTATTTAAATAATAATTATATATGTACAAAAAAACCCCACATATTTTGACTTAGGGTTAATATTAAAGCTGATTTCAGGGCAGTGATATATGAAGGGTTGCTGATGTTACCTTGTGCTTGAGAAGAACGATGAGCTGAGAGCGGAGGATGAGGCCGCAGAGCTTCGACGGCTGAAAGCGAGTAAACAACAACAGAAGGTGACGTTAATAATTTTATAAGGATTCAGATTGAAGCTCAAACTCTCTGGTACAGTATTAACAGTCTAAAATGAGTCATCCCGAAAGTACTGCGATAGAGTTCCTCAAAAACTAATAATACTTTTTGCGGCGATTATCTACTTTGTTTCCAGTGTGTCTTTTCTCAACCTCTTGAATATGCTTACAGGAAGCAGCAGAGAGAGGGACACGCCCACATCGCCATCAATGGGACTACGGTGGAGAGTCAGCAGCTTCAGGTTCCTCGGTGTCCACATCACTGAGGACCTGACATGGACTCTTCACACCACCACCATCACCAAAAAAGCTTGACAGCAGCTCTTCTTCCTCCGCAGGCTGAGGAGGTTCAATATGGACTCCAGGATACTCTGCAACTTCTACAGGTGCACCATAGAGAGGATCCTGACCTTCTACAGGTGCACCATAGAGAGGATCCTGACCTTCTACAGGTGCACCATAGAGAGTATCCTGACCTTCTACAGGTGCACAATAGAGAGGATCCTGACCTTCTACAGGTGCACCATAGAGAGTATCCTGACCTTCTACAGGTGCACCATAGAGAGTATCCTGACCTTCTACAGGTGCACCATAGAGAGCATCCTGACCTTCTACAGGTGCACCATAGAGAGCATCCTGACCTTCTACAGGTGCACCATAGAGAGCATCCTGACCTTCTACAGGTGCACCATAGAGAGTACCCTGACCTTCTACAGGTGCACCATAGAGAGCATCCTGACCTTCTACAGGTGCACCATAGAGAGGATCCTGACCTTCTACAGGTGCACCATAGAGAGGATCCTGACCTTCTACAGGTGCACCATAGAGAGGATCCTGACCTTCTACAGGTGCACCATAGAGAGTATCCTGACCTTCTACAGGTGCACCATAGAGAGTATCCTGACCTTCTACAGGTGCACCATAGAGAGGATCCTGACCTTCTACAGGTGCACCATAGAGAGGATCCTGACCTTCTACAGGTGCACCATAGAGAGTATCCTGACCTTCTACAGGTGCACCATAGAGAGTATCCTGACCTTCTACAGGTGCACCATAGAGAGCATCCTGACCTTCTACAGGTGCACCATAGAGAGGATCCTGACCTTCTACAGGTGCACCATAGAGAGTATCCTGACCTTCTACAGGTGCACCATAGAGAGGATCCTGACCTTCTAGAGGTGCACCATAGAGAGTATCCTGACCTTCTACAGGTGCACCATAGAGAGCATCCTGACCTTCTACAGGTGCACCATAGAGAGTATCCTGACCTTCTACAGGTGCACCATAGAGAGGATCCTGACCTTCTACAGGTGCACCATAGAGAGTATCCTGACCTTCTACAGGTGCACCATAGAGAGGATCCTGACCTTCTACAGGTGCACCATAGAGAGCATCCTGACCTTCTACAGGTGCACCATAGAGAGTATCCTGACCTTCTACAGGTGCTCCATAGAGAGCATCCTGACCTTCTACAGGTGCACCATAGAGAGTATCCTGACCTTCTACAGGTGCACCATAGAGAGCATCCTGACCTTCTACAGGTGCAAACTATTTTTCTTTTTGTATTTACTATTTACTATTACTATATTTTTCTGTTTATCAGTGTTATTGTGTTGCACTGTTGGAGAAGCCTGTGACCTAAGATTTTCATCGGCATAACTACACTGTAGCTATGTTCGTATGACAGAATAAAGAACCTTGAACCTTGAGAGTGGGTACTGGATCTTTTCTATTCAACATTGGATTCGATATGACGAGGAAGTGGGCAAGAGCTGCAGACATTACTTCCTCAAACACGGTCTTACTGTATGTCTGCACTGCATTTCTGATATATCATTTGCTACAGTAGGTGCTGGTATTTATGCATTTTCTCAAAAGATGTCTCTGCACAACTGCTGATTGTTGGAAAGAAAATAGCATCTTAAGAGAGACAACTACATTTACTGCTGATACTTTAAAGGGGTAGCCACGATTTGCTCTAAAAAAAGGCCTGAACAATGACAGGGAAAAGTCAGTCCACGTAGATGCATTTCACCATGGCTGGATCCTGCTAAGATAATTGCACTATTTAAAAGAAAACCAAGCCTTCATGCATTACCTCGTCACTATCAGCGCCCTGCATGACGACCGGGAAGCCGTTGTGATTGGTGGACGTGTTGCTAAGGACGTCCACGATGGTCCCCACTTTCTCTATCCTGTTCAGACAGGTGACCGGGGCACTCATCACCTCTCTGTGTGTGGGGGAGGGAGAGGGAGGGGGAGGGAGAGGAATGAGAACATGGAAAAAGGAGCAAGTGAGAAAAATGATATATAGTAGACTATAGTGTATTTGAATGGAATATATTTTTAACAATCATTCAGGGAACGCAAATGTGCTTATTGAGCTTAAAAACGGTTGAAAGGCAGTCGAATTAAATTCCCAAGGTAGATGTATAATATTTTTCTTATAATGAGAAGTTGCTGCAACGCTATGCTTCCACTATAATGAATGAAAGGTGTGAGAGCGGTGCGTGAGTGGTGTGTAGAGATCCAGTCTGCAAACTGAAATCTGCCAGTCTTACATTTATATAGTTTAACATGAGAAGTGTGCGACCCTTTTCACACAGAAATGGGTCATTAGTGTGTATTATTTCAATAAAAAACTGATATAACTGACACACTGAAAATGACCTATTGAGAGGATTTGGGAGTTCCTCTTGCAGTTTTATTTGTAAGTTGCAGCTGACAGTAGAATAGAGAAGCTCAGTATACCTTCCTGTTAAACATATGGTAATAACTAGATGAATGAAACCCTGCAATCTTTCAGTCATTATGGCTCAGCGTCTCAGAGAGGGACTCACCTGGCTGTTAACCAATGGGAGGTGGCGGGAGCGTCCCAGTGCAGGAAGGGGACGCTCTGCAGCTTGATGTGGATATCATACAGACCCTGAAGCAGCAAGAGATTGGATTTGATTTATTTTGAACGTGTAAAACAATAATACAAAAAATAATAATAATGAAATGAAACAAGAGAATTACGATATTGTACAAACTTAAGCAGTATCAAATTGATAAACAGAAATATTATTGACTTACAAATTATATATTACACATCCGAAAAGAGACACAGTGGACTTATTGCTCCATCAGCTGCTAAAACCCTGTTAACTGTGCAATTCACTGCACTATTGTTATATATTTGAGTACAATGTGCAGATTTGATTGCATCATTTGATTGCACAGTTTTACTTCCTAAGTCTTAACTCACCTCCACAAAATAGTCCCCTACTATCTTGGCAGTCATGAGGACGAGCATGATGGGAAGACCGTACGTAACGTTTCCTGTCGCCTCCACCATGATGACGGTCAAACTGAGAGTCATCCTCACTATGCCACCTGGGAAGAGGAGATGTAGTTATATTGATTTTTTTTTTTTAAAAGACTCCAGAGTATAGATAGCTCTCCACAGGTTGCAGACGTGTCACTGTGATTGGTCGTCTTAATGCAGTCCATTTCTTATTTCCAGTTCAGGTTACTCACCTAACTGAGCTGCGGCTCCAATCAGAGCATATTTACCAGGGTCCGCCCAGATCTAACAAAACACACAGGAAATAATAGTTCAAAGCATCTCGAGTATTGATATAGTTGTTATACTGTAATTATTTTCAACAAGTTTAAAAATAAATACCGGAAAAAAGCAACATCAGTCACTTAAAGGTAGGGTAGGTAAGTTTGAGAAACCGGCTCGAGATCGCTAGAATTTGAAAATACACAACCGGAGAAAATCTGCCACTTCCTTATAGAGCCCCTCCTCCAACACACACGAACGCGCACATGACCAATGAGGGCACGAGATAAGTTTGTGCACAGATGGAAGGCTGACAGGCAGGTAGGCCATCCAGTTATTTTAGCCGGGCCGGCTAAAATGATTGGTCGTGCTTTTTACAGTACTACGGCTTCCACAGATGACATTTTTTTATGGATTTTTTGTCAAAGCACTTAAGATATTCATTGCTATCGGGACGTTAAGAGCATTCCATGGAATATAACAAAAAGTGTATCTCGAGCCGGTTTCTCAAACTTACCTACCCTACCTTTAAAGGTTGGACCAAATACCAGAACTGGCATCAGGAGTTATTAAGTTTGAGAAACCAGGTAATTAAAGGTCCCCTATTATACTGTTTTTCATCAATATATTATAGGTCTCAGATATATACAGAACATGTCTCTGAAGTGTTTGGCTCCAAATACCAAACAGATCATTGCAGCATCCCATAATCCCCTCTGTTTCAGCCCTGTTTCAAAAGTGCTGATTCTCTGTCTGTTACTTTAGATGAAAATAAGGAGCCCCTCCCCACGCCCCTCTGAGAGATATTTGGTTAAAAAGAACACAATGGTGCTCTAGGAGGAGATTCAGGTGATAAGGTGGGGGGGGGGGTTACCTTGGTTGCTGATTGGCTAATGGTTACACAAGCCAAAGAATCGTTATGACATCATAAAGTGGCCAAACATCTGATCAGCTCATTTTCAGACAGGTTTTTATATAAATGGATCAGGACAGAAAGAGAGAATCTCTTTACACAGAGGGGACACATGTTGATGTAGAAAATACATGAAGTGGGTTTTGCATAATAGGTGACCTTTAAAGTAAAGTATTGAGACTTCAATTGAACCATAATGTGGTTCTCTTTCATTATGGGAACTGAATTGGATCGTCTTCTTGTCTTCCTACAGAATGAAGAATCATAAATATGTACTCACCGAGCCATTGGGAGTGATGGAGGCCAGCAGGATGCCGAACAGTCTCCCCCAGGCGGCTCCTATCAGCAGAGCAGGGATGAAGACCCCCGCAGACACCGCCAGGCCGTACGTCCAACACGCCAGGAAGAAATAAGTGATGGTGAACAAACCCAGGGTCAACGGATTGTAGGTCCCTTTAATAAAGAGAGAAGTTCAACACATCTGTTTTACACACTGATCATATTTAAATCCCACCTCTTATAACGCCTGTTCAGACGAGGCTCCCTCTCCAGTCTAGTCTAAAAAAAGTCCAACATTTTAGACTAGACACGTTGCATTGAACTATTTGTACATATTTTCAACTTTCTTTGTTTTTCTTGTGAAGCACTTTGTGAATTGTATTTCTGTGAAAGGTGCTATAATATGTATAAGTATTATTAGTACAATTATTATTATGACAGTGTGTTTAATGACGGACACAAATAGCGTCGCACGTGGTCAGTAAGGGCAGCTGGTTGAGTCAGGACCAATGCAGACTTCCTGTAGGGTTTAATAACTTCCTGTTGGATGTTTTAATAACTTCCTGTTGGATGTTTTAATAACTTCCTGTTGGGAGTGCTAAATAACTTCCTCTGCCTGTAAGATGGCTCTGAAGGTCACTCAATATGTCAGACCCTCCACGGAAACGCTCAAACGGAGAGGAAGTGGTAAGTCAGAGAGTGTGGAGGTCGGATTGGTACTGGGCTTTATTCATTAAAATCCCGTTTCCACAATGTGCAAAATAATAGAAAGAAGGAAACACTGGGCCAGATGTTTGTTCAGAGTTATTTTTAGCAGCTTTTCACCTGCTTGTGTGTGGAAGAGGCTGCGGACGCTTTTCTCAGGAGTGTTGAAGACGGCTGTTGCCATGGAGTTGTTACCTCTCCATCTGCACAGAACAACTGTGAGAGAGAGAAGGAGAGGAGAGTGAGAGAGAGAATCCCGCGAGAGAGAGTGAGACGAGAGAGATGAGAGATGAGGAGACGGAGAGAGGAGAGCAGACGATCTGAGAGAGAGAGAGAGATTGATAAGAGTGGTATAAAAAAGAGGGAGACAAGAAGAACTTCCTTACTTCTGTGCTGTAGTGATTTAGTGATTTAACTATGCTGTCTAACGGACAGATTAGGACATTGAAGGTATGTAAACCTATTGGTGCCGTCAGGAGCAGCAGGTCCAGAGTTGTTTATGTTTTCTTCGTCACGAGCCACTCCTATCTCTTTCAAAAATATTTCCTCTCTCCCTAATATGTCTAATAAAAAGGTGAGGATGCCAAAAAAACACACTACAGCATGGGTGGGATACATTTCCGTGAATACTGATTCAGATGAAGTACCAGTTGTCTGTTCTGCCCAAACATGATGTGTTGAAGCCTTAATTAAAAATGTAAAAAGACCAGAAAAATCGAACCTATCCCAAAATAATCCGCGCTCTTTGAGAAAGCATTTGTGACAAAAGAATCAATTTGAAAAAATATATTATTGTATAAATTAATCACATGGAGAATGTGTCCCTGGTATGTAGACATTTATACATTAATACATTTTCGACAATGAATTATAAGTGTGAGATATTTTTGAATGACTGTGAGTCTGAAAGATCTTTGCTTATCTGTATAATTGTGTCCATTGGGAACAATTGAAACAGTCTCCTCTATTAGCAAGACCATCGAGTTGTGTCTCCATGTCTGATGTTGAAATACACAGCACAGAGGACAGAGGTTTATTTGTGAGACCTGATCTGTAGCGCGAGTAGTTTTGGTTCAACACAGAAACCATTTGTTCGCACACACACACACACACAGAGCCAAACAAAACAAGGATGGGGCGTTTGTTTTTCTTCAGTTAAATGTTTGCCTCTGCAACAAATTCCATTGACATCCATCCAATAGTTGAGACATTTCAAGGAAACCACTATTGTCACAAAAGTAAAAGTCAGGGGTTCACCAGAGTCAGAACTATTCATCCTCTGGGGAACATGACCGTCAAAATGGTGTCCTCTACTTGCATCCTTTTGGCCGTATTGTTCTTATGACATACATACTGGTAAAGCGTAATGAAGTGAAAACAGCTGTCTGGTTAAAGAAACAGGAAGCATTAAGGTTCTCTGTGAGAGGCTTTATCTCATCTGAATCTGCACTCGGGTCGGTGTAATGTGCTCAGTCATGCTCATACACTTTCTTGATAACTGACAGCGCTTGTGACACCATGTAACTGTGACAGTTTATATTACATGACAAAGGTGACTCTTGTTGCTGTGAGTGTGAGAGTGTGAGAGTGTGTGTGCGTGCGTGCGTGTGAGAGTGTGAGAGTGTGAGAGTGCGTGCGTGCGTACCTGCAGTGGGTACTCCTCTTTGTGCTCGGGCCCCAGAGGCTGACAGTCATTGGAGAAGTAGATCATGGTGAACGACACGGCCGCGGTCACTGCAGCAACCAACATGGCCTCCATCACTTGTAAACACGGCCGATGAACGTACCTGAAACACAATAACACGCAAGGTAGTTTTGAACAGGTAATGAAACTGTCTCAATATAATTCTAATGTTATATGACTTACATAGACAAACAAGACTATCAGCAAGAAGATTGGCTATTTCAAAAAAAGTTATCCTAATGTGTTGTTTTTTACAGTTAATATTTTATTGTGCATTATCTGGTCAGATTCTCATCGAATGTTGTCCTAAACTAGCATGTAATATACTTTATTGATGAAATACATTGCAATAAGTTGTTTTAAATCCAAATGTGATGATTCATTAGTAATACTATTGCAGTTACTAATTACATAGCCACAAATATATACATTTCCAAAGTTATTTTTATTAATAAAGTTTATTATTTGGTAAAAAAATCTAGGCAACATTAACAACAAAAAAAGCTTATATTATTATTATTTAAAACGGAATTGTATTACTACTGTTACGTTTTGAGTATGCAAGTCAATTTAAGTCAACTTTAAAAATGAATTGTGTTACTTTGATCTGAAAACTGGCAATAAATAAAATCCTATTATTAAATATCTGGAGTTTGTCTAGAAAACAGTTATCTGACGGTGACGGAGTTTATGAAATATATCAGTTTTTTTATTAAATGGAAACACAACCTTTTGTCGACAGGAAAAAAAAAGGATAATTAATCGTAGCAGAAGACATACTTTATTAATCCTTTAGGGAAAATTCAACAGTTGCTTTAAATGACGTTCAACCACATCACCACTTAAATTAACTAGAAACTGATGTTGTTGTTTGTTGAGCTTCAGCGTGGACTTTCCTGAGACTGGAGGAAGTGCAATAAAACGTAGTGACTGGAACAAAGCTCTGAAGACGCCAAGTGGATTCCAGGTATTGTGACGTAATGCGACACAAATGGAAACTTAATCCTTATGATCACTTAGCGTTAGGTGACAGCCTGTTTTCAGACATACGTGTATAAATATAAAAATCAAATACTAGAAAATGTATTTAATTGTATTTATTGCCAATTGTGCTGACCAAAGACAAAAACCCTTACCCAGAGCCACCCGGGTCAGTCGATCCAACAGTGATTAAACCTGTTCTCTATTTTAAAACTCCTCGATCACAAGATGTTGACATTCTGTGACAAATTCTAATAGGAAGACTTCCTCATCTCGCACCCCACCCTAATGCCACCGTGTGTTTCTTGGCATACGAAACACACAAAGCTATTTTTGATATGTCACCTGACCCTATGTGGCAACCTTTTCACGTATGTTTGTGACGTGCAATTTTTTTAAGCCTTTTATAGACGTTACCTGATCCTGAAGATGGTCAGCCAGTAGTTCAGTTTGTTGAACAGAGCGCCTAACAATCCACCTGCACAGGGAATATAAACACTGCCGTCAGAATTTCAAACATTAACTGAATCAAATTGACTTTACGGCTGCAACTAAGAATTATTTTCAGTATTTTTATTATTATTATTTTTAATTAATCCATTAAAGGTGGGGTAGGTAATTTAAGATAAGCACTTAAGATATTCATTGCTATCGGGATGTTAAGAGCATTCCATGGAATATAACAAAAAGTGTATCTCGAGCCGGTTTCTCAAACTTACCTACCCCACCTTTAATTGATTGGTCTATAAAAGGTCAAAACTTAGAGAAAAATGTCCATCCAAGTTTGTGAAAATCCAAGACATGTATTTAAATGTAGCCAAATATATTTTATATAGTTTAATATTTAAAAATAAATACAGTAAAATTAAGAAATTTCCATATCTAAGATGCTGCAAGCTCTTAATATTTTTCTGTCAATTGACTTATTGTTGCAGCTCTAATATGAATATACTATTATTATTATTATTATTATTATTTTTGAATATATTAGTACTGTAATTACACTTTTTTATAATTGTTATTTTTATTATTGTTGTGCTAATATTCCTGTCCTCCACCCAGTTATAAAAGAGTCAAGTATTCCCTGGAAAGAAGATATTTTTACCCAAAGCTCCCATAGCGATGAACAGGGGAATCTCATAGAGGTTATAGGACCCAGTCTGAAAAATGAATAAAAACACATCATGTCATTGTTTACTTTACACAGACTAACAAACAAAATAAAGGTGAGACAGTAAACAAATATGAAGTGTTGGTTTCTCACATCGCTCTCAAAGCGCCCGAAGTTGATGAGACCCGGGTTGGAGAGGTCTCCTGGTTTGTTGTTGTAGATACTGAGGAAGAAGTTCAGGGTGAAGGTGGAGATCATGGAGGTGAAGAACTGCAGGGGAGAGAAGAGAGAGGGGGGGGGGACTGTTAGGCATGATTCGGAAACTGAAACCCATTCTGCTATTGGCTATCTTTTTTAATTACTTTTTATTAGCAACAACCCCCCTTTAAATTGTATTCTTTAATATTTGGTTATTGTTTTATTTATTTTATAGGTCTTATGTGACCACTTTCTAACCCCTAGATTCCACCGGGTCCGTCTGCGCCGCGTTGCGGTTTTGGTCCGGCCTCCTCCGGCGTCATACCCTACCAGGCGCGTTTCAGAAGCATTTCAGAAGCGGAGAGTCTTGCCTGCCGGCTCGCAGTTTTTGTTGATTTGGGCATATTTCCTGGACAGGCTACTTTGTACAGACAAAGTTAATAATAACTGTAATATTCCAGTTATAAACGACATGAATCAAAGATGTGTTGCTGTATTTTAGTGGTAAAAAAATGCATTCATCATCATAATTATTCTATATATATAATTTACACAGTGCCTGTAAACCGGAGGAGAACGCTGGCATTTCTCCTCCTACTTGAAAGACTACGGAGGGATAGGGTCTGCAAAATTAGTTTGTGTGTGTGTATATATCTATATATATATATGCTATATATGCTCTGAAAGTTCCACTTCCTGCCTGGCCGACCTTACGTTACGGCTGCGCCGCGACAAAAATAGGATTCGATCCTAATTTTAGAAGAGCCCTGCGCCGAGCCGTTTCTGGGACGCTTCTGAGCCGTAACGCGCCGCGTGTGGTGGAATAGCACCCATTGACTAGAGTGGCCGCGATCGCCGTGAGCACCGCGGCGCAGCCGTAACGCGCCCGTAACGCGCCCGTAACGCGCCCGTAACGCGCCGCAGACGGACCCGGTGGAATCTAGGGGTTAGCGAGATTCCCTTTTAATCGTTTGATCTTTATTATTAGCCGCGTTCACACCGCGTACTTTGCAGTACTTAGTGCCCCGGCACTTATTACCCCAGGGCACTAAGTACCAATCGCGTTCACACCGGAGTACTTTTCCCTGAGGGAAGATTACGCAAATGAGCCGCTGACGTCACTTCGTCTTCTTCTGCTTTGGGTTTACTGGCAGGCCGCAAACAACTTCACGGCGTATACTGCCACCCGGAGTCCCCGGCCGGAAGTCCCCGGAGTTGGGGACTGGCTTCCGAGTAAATCGCCATAACGCCGACACCTCCTCATCACTCCACCGCTCCCAAGTTTTTTTTTGTGTTGCCATAAGTTATTCTCTCTCCGTTGGTGCGCGGGGCTAATGCTAATGCTAATAATGCTAATGCCACAAATACAATGGCGGCTTCACAAAACTTTTCAGAGTTTTACGGGGCGTGGTTTGCAATTCACCCCGCCAATCAGAATATAAATGTGGGTTTTATTTTCAGTTTCTTATTATTACTTTATTTATTTAATAGGTGTTTATATTTTATCGTATTTATTAGTTTGGTCTTCCTTTATTTTACCAAGAGGGATCACTATTTTATTGTCTTTTATTTAATGTATTTGTTGTGTTAAGGTACTCTTGATGGGTTGGTTAGGGACTGGTCCCAATAGCACTATGCATGAAAGATGAATGGTTGACTGTTATAATTATGGGGGTAACACGTATAACAGAATAAGTACTTACATTTGGTAAATGCACACAAGGTAATGACTGCAGCTGCTCTTTTTATGTATTTGTCAGCAGGGTTTTTTTTGGTAATCTTTTGTATATTTTGTCTTAAAGGTGGGGTAGGTAAGTTTGAGAAACCGGCTCGAGATACACTTTTTGTTATATTCCATGGAATGCTCTTAACATCCCGATAGCAATGAATATCTTAAGTGCTTTGACAAAAAATCCATAAAAAATGTCATCTGTGGAAGCCGTAGTACTGTAAAAAGCACGACCAATCATTTTAGCCGGCCCGGCTAAAATAACTGGATGGCCTACCTGCCTGTCAGCCTTCCATCTGTGCACAAACTTATCTCGTGCCCTCATTGGTCATGTGCGCGTTCGTGTGTGTTGGAGGAGGGGCTCTGTAAGGAAGTGGCAGATTTCTTCCGGCTGTGTATTTTCAAATTCTAGCGCACTGGAGCTGGTTTCTCCAAAATTACCTACCCCACCTTTAATTTGTCGTTGAAATCAATGGTCCCTAAATCTGACAATCTCAGTTTGAGATTTAATTTGTATCAAATATCCTTTATCCGTCCCACACAGGAGAAATGTACTTACTAAGAAAGAGGCAAGCACGTGGTTAATGAAGTAAAAAAAGGTTCAGGTCTTTATATTGTATCATCTTATGACTGTTAAAAATAAAAGAAATATTGAAAATGAAAAATAAATAAAAAAAATTGGGGATTTTAAATCTCAACAACATTGCATTTTAACATTCCTGTTGTTATTTTACTTGAACTTTTTTTTATTGCACTATCCTCATTTATGTCTTAGGTATATTGTACTGTTTGAAGAGCCTGGGACTTTTCATTGCCAACAACTACACTGTAGCTATTATGCATGTAACAATAAAACCTTTGAATCTTAAATGAATTCTGTATACAAACCTCTTGATTTAATTTACTTGACAACATAACATGATAAGGAGTTTTATCCCAGGGTGTAATATGGTGTACAGTGGACTTACTATCCTCCAGGTCAGCATCTGGTTCCAGAAAGAAGCTCCCTCCTCCAGAGAGAACAGGACGCCGCCTGTCAGAAACAGAATCTCAGTCAGGAAACACAGCGTGATGTTGCTAAATGATTCCTTTGATCCACTGACGCCATGTCTGAAGAGGAGTATGCATGCCAAGATAGCTGACAAGCACACGGCATCCTCCACATTGATTGATAAGCGCAGTAAGATATTTACAGGGTTCACATGAGTTAAAATGGAAGAACTCTGTTCACATGACTGTAACACATTACAGACGTAGTATGTGAAGCATTTCCAGACTACTGATGAGAAAAGTCTATATGTACAAGGAAGCTTTTACTCTACTGCTTTACCATCACGACTAATGATGTCAGGGTTTCTGCAGTGTTCACTTAATACATTTAAAGGGGCCATATTCTGCTCATTTTCAGGTTGATATTTGTATGTAGTGTCTCTACTGTGACATGTCTCCATGCTTTAATGTTCAAAAAGCTCTTTATTTGTGCTGCAGCACCTCTTTTCACCCTCTGTCTGAAACCAGAGCCCAGTCTGCTCTGATTGGTAAGTTGGCCGGCTCTGTTGTGATTGGTCAACAGTTTAAAGTTGTCCCGCCCATTAGCCTATCACGTACACTGTGTTGGAGCGCTAGCCAATAGAAGTGAAGTCGCAGGGTGTTTCTCAATGTCGAGGAAGGCTGCTCCAGAGCCACTATTTCAAGCATACTACGTCATCGAGTCCCGCCGAAGGACTGTTCCAATGTCCAGCATACTTGGAATTCTACCGAGGCCGGCGTACTTCGTAGCGGGAAATTTCGAGGCTGCACATGTGTAGACTCCGCGATCTTAAAATACCCACAATGCTTTGCGCACGGACCAATTTCCATATCTCGCATATGACGCACACCTGCACACCTGTTAGCCTGTTACACAATTCTTCGTTTTCCGAGGCTAGGAAGGATTCTTGCCTCGCTTCTGAAGGACCTGAGGGACATGTCCTACCAAGGAAGCGTCCTCGACATTGAGAAACACCCACTATGTTCCTGAAGTAAACAAAGGACTCTAATGGCGCGTTTCCACTACAGCGCGGAGCACGGTTTAAGAGGGCTGTGACGTCAGCGGCCCGTCTTTGGTTGCGTTTCCACTTGGCCTAGTACCGGCCGGCGGGTCCTAATTCACAGTTTTTCTGGCCTCATAAAATCGTGGGTCTAGGGCCAGAGACAACGAGGCTGAGTCGGGCTGAGTATGCTAAACTGGAGAGAGAATCGCTGGCAAGGGGGCTACAACTACAACAAGATGGACATATTTGACCGTGATTTAATTGTAATACACGTTTCAAAATGATGCCGAAGTAACAACATACTGATACCGGTTAGTAAAAACCATGAATTAATGCTTTGACAAGTCTGCAGACAGACGGCAGGCGAAAAACCTTTTAAAATGCGTGTTTTCTAAATGGAGATTGGCTAAGCTAACGCAGTATATGCTCCGACCGTCCACACTCACAACAACGGCCTATACAGACATAAATAAACCAGCGACTGTATTCGCCATGACACAGACAGTCTGTGGTTTGTACTTGTTTAACTTTTGTCTAGTTTCTGAACAGATATAAGGAGCTGTGAGCTCTGAGTGCTAACAGCTAACGGCTGTGTTGTTTTTCTGGGGTTCTCATTGAAGATGACGTCACGGCTCCGCCTACACTGCATTACTATAGATACTACCCCAGATCCTAAACTGTAATGGAAATGCGCCATAAAGTGAGCCAGTCCTAACGAGGCCTAGCCATACCGAGCGAGGCCGTGTAGTGGAAATGCGCCATAATGGAGGCGTTTCAGGCAGGGGGGGGGAGAGAGAAACTTCCTCTCATAAATTCAAGTTTTTATTTTATTTCTACTCTTGTCAATTATGAGTCAACTATCTTCCTAAAGACTGTAGCTAGCAGCTGTGACCATGTTTGCTAAAGATCTGATGGTACCAACTGAAAAAGGACAAGACAACATCCTGTACTCACAATGAACTGTCAAAACAATCACGTCTTTGTTTATCGATGTCTTTTGACTCACTGCACACAATACAAAAACGTTTTATATCCATGACTATTGGCTCCAGCAGGCAGTTGCAAATTGGATTTAAGTTTTTTTTACCACCTTCTAGGACATTTTGAATGTATTCATTTATCAAAACAAAGCTGTAGCATACCCCCTCATCCTCCCCTTAACATCCGCACACACCAACATAACACTTTTGAATACAGCTACATTTAGTCAGTTTTTATGTTATATATTTACTGTATTTAATCTCTTGTGTATAATTACTTATTTGACTGTTTTGGTCTATTGTTTGAACCAATATTGGATCGACTTGTACTTTGATGCTTTGGCCAATAAAGTCTTTCATTTGAACTGCATTGAATTACATTAAATGAGATTGAATAGTCCTGTCCCACACAAGTTCCCTTACAGGTTTGTCTGTCTTTAGTCTGGGCATGCAGCCACACGGGTTGGTCTGTTGTCTTTATAGCAGCTAAACTGCCTGCACATTCAGGCAGATAAATATGAAAACACATACGTATGTAGGGTGCTTTAGTGATGTTGTTTTTACCGACTGGAGCTCCAAAAGCAGCTGAAACACCGGCAGCAGCTCCAGCAGAAACAAAGTCTCTTTTCTCAGTGTCTCTCCGGAAGTATTCAAAGATCTACAAACACAAACACACACTTATTACTCGTTATACATTAGTTTAACTACAAACACACCCTATCCATGTACAGTTAAAAACATGTCAGTAGTACAAAAGCATGCTTGAATGAAGAACAGTCATATTTAAATGATTGAAAGGCATAAAGGATCTTCAGTAAGACAGAATACAGGGAGTGTTAGGAACAAAGTATTTCAAATTAAAAGAAAATATATGGGTGAATATACTTCCATGTGTTTAATAGCCTGAGACACACACACACACACACATATACACACACACACACACTGACCTTGAAGTCTCTCTTTAAAGAGGTGCTCCTGCCCTGTGAGACTCCTGCAGCTACAACAGCACCAGAGTGAATCATGGGTCCTTCCTGAAGGATTGTGGGTAAACAAGAGGACAGGTATGAAAGAGAATTCATGGCAGGCAGTCAATTAAATACCAATTTAACGAGAAATGATCTTGAAAAACTCTACTTTTCCAACTCTAAAAAATGCAAAACATAATTGTATTGTTTGTATAAAAAAAAAAATTGCATCTTTTAGTCTTTGCTTTGTTTACAGTTCTAGACTTGATACTCAACTTCACGACAGCATTTTGAAACAAACAGACAGTGAGGGATAATATTTGTTTACCTTTCCGACAGCAAGACCGCCAACCACTGAACAGATAACACCGAACACTTTCACCACCAGGGTCTGTTGGGGGAAAACAAAACATGTTACAGATAAGATACTCCTTCCAAAAACATCCATTGATATATATGTGTGTGTGTGTGTGTGTGTGTGTGTGTGTGTGTGTGTTTTTACCTTGAGTCGTACCACCCTAGGAATCTTGACTCCATTGAGGTAACATTTGATCTGAGGGATCCCACTTCCTGCTGCTATGGGCTGCACGAGACAAAAGGGAGAGTTATATTAAAATATAGAAACCTACAGTATTTATGATTACATGAGTAACATATAAGGGTGTGAGGAGGGAAAGGTGTTGGTGTTTCTTTGTGTTGAATGAAATGTCTCAATGGTGATGAAATGGAATTGAAAGCAGACTTTTTTGGGGGGAAAAAGCAAGACTGAAAAAATGTTGTAATCCGTCTGCTTGCATGAAGAAACCTAATGTTGCTTAATTAAATCTCAGCTGACTGCGGTTAACCTGAATGGCAGAATAAAGGAAGCACATTCAGATGTACGGATTTTCACTATTACTAACAAAAACTGGTACAGGCTGTTCCCTAATTAGTTTTCACTTGCACTTCCATGTGAATGTTTTTTTAATTCATACATTATTCTCGAGGAACAATCAAAAGCACAACTCAGAAGCCGACTAAAGTCATTAAGGTTACTAAAACACATGATATGACATGACCTCGAAAAATGCAACGAGGATGGCCCCCATCATGACGATGGCGGAGTTGAGGACGGCCCAGAGGATGAGGGAGATCGACAGGCCGCCAACCTCTGTGAACTTCTCGATGTCTGTGAGGGGTCAGAGGTCAAGGAAAACCACGTACAATGTGTTGAAGCGCTAGCCAATAGTGCGCGAATGTTACAGTGATGTTATTATGCAGGGTATATGCAGGAATCCTGAAGTCAAATGTAATTCCTTTTAAGACCTTTTTTAAGACCCTTTCCATACATTTAAAGACCTCATCACCACTTGGAGTTTTAACCGGTTACCTTGGCGACACACTTTACCTCACATTGACTATATACAGTATTGATTGTCCTTGCTCCTTATCTTCCAACCATTTGGACGCAAACTTGCATTTCCCCGTAACGATGTTGTTTAACAACCGGCGTAAACGGACCTTCGCGCGCTATCAAGCAGTGAGCGTGAGATGTCCTGTTCAGATGACGTCAAATCCAACGGGATGCCATAAATAAACTACACAGAATCACACTACACACCTACGCAATGATTACATTCAGGCAGACTGTAGAATACAACCTCTTTGGACAATTTATATACTTATTGAAAACAAGCTACAAAATGTAATACCTTGGAAAATGCCGCTACTTTTTACTAGCCTTCATTTTCGTTAAATTGATTCATCAACTTTGAATACTTTTTAAGACCCCGCAGACACCCTGTTATGCTACATAAGTAAACAAAGGAGTCCAATGGAGGCGTTTCAGGCAGGGGGGGGGGGAGAAACTCCCTCTGGGGGGAACACAGGAATTGGCTTGAGAGGGTCTGAACCAAACAAGGATGTCAGAATCAGAATCAGAAACAGGTTTATTACCAGGTAGGTTAACACATACGATGAATTTGACTTGGTGTCGTGGTGCATACATAAAAGTAAAACAACAATTAAAAACACAGATAGAAACTATTTTAAGAAAACTATAATAACATAGAAAAATATAGCAGTATTTACATTGAATATGGTTAAAGTAGAATTGGTATAAAATGTGTGTAGTAATGAAAAATGTAAGTGTATGCAGCCCCACAATACTTCATTCAGATACTTTTTCATTTTTGCCTTTACCAAATATTGCAGCTTACTGTGATTTGCACTAGTCCATGTTGCGAGTTCGATAACATTTTGATTAATTATGCAGCCTTAATATATATAAAACAGTGCAATACCAAATGATTATATATTCTTTCAGTCATTGTTTCTCTGTATTGTACTTGTGCCCGTAAAAAGTTGTTCTGATTATCTTGCACAAAGGATACTCTGTTTGACCACTCGGTATTTGATCCCAGCAAGTTCCTCCACCGCGATGTCGATGAAGCAGGCGATGAGGCCGGTCAGGAAGCCGATCAGACCACAAACCACCCAGCGACTGATCTCCAGACAGCGGAAACCCTAGAAACAAATACAAGAAGAGAGAGGAGATAAAACCATCACCAGAGGAGAAGTTGGAGTTATTCAAAATAAGGGAAATGCATGAATTCATACACATTGACGTATCAAGGTGATTATAGAAAGTCACCTTTGTTACAATATAAGAACAGAAGATGGAAATTAGATAGGAGCTTTATCTGGCATAAATAATAATAATAATAATAATATCTTCCTAATGTGTTTGTATGCATGGTCCTTAAAAACATATAAGGTTGGATAACAAACATCCAGGTGTTTCCTTCTCTACTCACCATGTAACTCATCCTCCTCTCCTCCTCCAGAAACAGCTGGTTCTCAATGTTATCATAGTCCAGACTCTGGAATAACACACACACACAAACAATAAAATAAACACAACAAATCAATACAAAATCTATATTTAAAATCAACAAAAGCAATGTTTTCTTCTATTTTGCAATACTTTATGATAAACACAGATTTTAAAAATGTCACAAATACCTCATTTACATTTTTAGGTCAGCAAGTTCATAGTAAACCATAGATATGTTAATACAAAGCTGACAGCTGTTCGTTTCCTGCCTGCTTAAGAGGATTATTGCCCTGTTAGCCCAACATGTTTTTAACGTTTCATAACCTGAATGGCATTTTCTATACACTCTTTTTATACTTCATCTATTTCTTAACTCCAACAAGGTGACATCAAAACATGAAACGTATACATCCCATATAAACACATGATGCTTTAATTAAAACAATCTAATTCAGGGATCATTTAATAATCAGCACTCTGTTCGATAGTGAGTTGGCATTTTTACCTCAAATTTAAGTGACAGCAGCTTCTCATTATGAGGGATCTCTTTAGGCCGCCCTCTCAGAGATTCCTGCAAGAAAAACAGAGAAAAAACAGAAATCAATAAAGTGAAACTGACTTATAACCTCTGAATCATGTGAGGGACTGCAAGGAGCTGGGAGGAAATAGACATTTTGATGCAACACACAAGCATTTGAAACGACACATAAAAATGCCTATTACTCTCAAAGATCACTACCGGAGAGAGGACATGTTTTACAGACTTCATCCAACAGATACAGGAGCATTAATAATCGAAGATGCATGCAAGCCAACTACAGTCAAATAAAAAGTCTAATCTATTCCACATTTGCATGCGATTCGAAGTGAGCGTCGGTCGCACAATCAGCAAGCAGCGAATAAAGCAACTACGCAACACATTTGCATAAACAGACTACAGACAAATGCTTTTATTTGCGGCAAACGAAAAACGTGCAAGTCACATGCATGGCATCACATTCCCGTCAGGCAGTGAGAACAGATCTGAAACTGATGGCTTCTGTCACGGGAGGAAATGGATGTCCTGTCAAGCTAAGAGACTGAAAAGTAGCTTCAAGCGTCGGGTGTATAATCCTGTAGCGATGTGTCACTCCAAGCTGCATCTGTTATGCTGAATTTAAATAGCTTATTGTGTGTTTTTTTTGTATTTCTGGGGAGATTTTCAATGCCTGATTGAATTGAGCTATACAAGTAAAATAACATAAAACAATTTTTGCTTTTCTTTTGTAGCCTAAAAGGACTTAGCTGCATTTGTTGTGCAACCCATTGTTGTAAAAGTTCAGTAAAGGTCACCAAGTAAAACCTGACTAAGATATGCTAATTAAACACATTATCTGTATTGAATAAATGGTGTGTTACTCAATCTGTTTTTTCTTTTTCTTAAGCTACCAGTGTGTGGGATCAATCAGTTTCTGAAAACTAAAAACTGAATGGTCAGGCGGTCAAAGGCACAAGGCCTGCCTCAGTTCATAATTTGCGATCCATCACAGTGGAAACCTTCAGAGAGTTTCCAAACACGTGTTCTTAGACACACTGGATGAGTCAAACATCCTTATTACAGGTCACTTTTGTGTCAAGAGTTCCCATAGAAGGCCATATTAAGCAGGGAGCTACTGAGATTACATTAAATGCACCCACATCATCATTCACACTCACATTAAGTCAACTGTAAACGTTGCTAGATGCTGTTTTTAATGATTTTAAGACAATAAAGTAGAGTTTTTATAATTATAGAGGGTTAACTAACTACACTAAGGAAGTCTAAAAGAAATGGCGGTAGCAGTATCGATGAGGTGATATCGATAGAGGAGTGACAGACACAGAGAGAAATAGTTCGACGTCGTTCTCGGGCTTTACCTCTTCAGACGTCATCTCCTCCTCCAAATCCACCGTGCTCAGTCTGCCTATCTGAAATATACCGCCTCTCGACAGCTATAGACACCACAGACACCAACACAAATATATATATATATATATATATATAGGGCTATTGTGTAGCAATTTTCAAGCTGATGCTTTAACATGTTGGATATCCAGATAAGAGCGACAGGGTTCGAGAAGTATAAGGAAATAACACTGCATGTATGATACAATAAAGTACATTTTGTTCAAACTTCCACCTTGAATCCTAAAAGGAAATGAGTAATCCTGGTGAGACGGAGAGGAAAAAGGAAGTAGGATTTTCCATATTAGGTGGACAGACGACGTTATTTAGTCTAAATATAGCAGGTCTACTAGTTAGTGACACTATCAGTTTGAAACTGATGTTTAATACTATTCTGTTCACACTAACATACTAAAATAAAACGTATACTGGATGTAAACAGTATCCATAACAGGCTCAGATTACCTGCATTTATGTGAACACTGATTTTATTACTTTGAGAATGGACTTTCTTCAATGTCACAATTATCATCCTTTCTAGGAGTAATGACTGACATGAGGTTAAGTTATTTTTCTTGATAACTTTGTCCTTATACGAAGCTGCCAGACTGCCTGTTTTAATTGTACGTAACCTAGTAATAAAGATAAGTCACTAGCTTCTTAATATAATGAAAGGACTAGCCTTTCAAAACTCTCAATAATCTGATTATTTTCCCTAGATAACAATCGAATTACAAGCAGCATGTTGTAAATTATTGAACTAACACTAACTGAATTACTTTCATGCAGCAAACAAAGCATGTTGTTGCATCTGAAATGCAAAGACACCATAACACGTGTAAACACAACCAAAAAAGAAGTCAACAATGCATAAAAAAATCTTCACACGCATTCATATCCCATGCAGCATTTAGAAACATGACTCAGTGTAACCTTAGTGGTTAATAAAAACATGACACAGCATCTTCTGAACACTTTAGGTACAGAGGTGGAAGAAGTAATAGAAAAGGTCCTGCATTCAAAATGTTACTCAAGTAAATGTAGAAAAGTATCAGCATCATATTATACTTAAAGTAGCAAAAGTAAAAGTACTCATTCTGCATTCTCATTTCAGAACAATATATATGTTATATAATTATTGATCATTAAAGTGTTATCAAAGCTGGTAAAGGTGCAGCTAGTTTGAATGACTTTGTATACTGCAGGGTAGCTTGTGAATTTACTCCAGGTGTAACTAAAGTCTGATTTAAGTGTTGATTATACTTCACATCATTAATCAAAATCTGTAAAGTAACAAAAAGGTATTAATAAATGTCGTTGAGTAAAAGTACACTATTAAACTTTGAATTGTAGTTGGGTAGAAGTACAAAGTAGCAAATAAAGGCAATACTCAAGTAAAGTACCTCATAATTGCACTTAATTACAGTAGGCTACTTGAGTAAATGTACTTAGTTACTTTACATCACTGTTTGGGACTAACAGACGTCAGGGTGGCTAAGCTAACATGCTACAGCGGTACCTGTCTGGAGGGTCGGGGCTGCTCGGAACCGTTCAGCAGCGGGGTTCCCTCCGCCGTGGCCCCGGACTCGTCGGCCCGGCTGGACCACGACACTTTCTTCGTGATGTTGGCCATAGTGGCCCCCGGTAGCTCGGTGCCCTGACTTCCGCTGATTTATTTCATTAATTTCAGTTGTGGCTGCCTCACTGTACACTGTTATTCTTCTTCAGCTTCCCATGATCATCATGTGACACTTGTAAGGATCGTGTGAAGGGCCAAACATATCCGCGTCAGGCGCGCTGGATGCTGGGAAATGTATTTCTTTGTTCTTTTTATAAAACAAAAAATGTGTCACTGGATTAGATTCACACTTTTGACTGTACCTTGTAATTTTATTTTGAATAAAAACCAACTAGACTCCCACATCTTGTCTGCTAGGTTTTTTGATACTGTTGTGGCAAAATACAAATTCATAATAATAATATATTACCTTTATATAGCTTTTTTCTACTCAAAGTCGCTTTATAAAAGTAGGCTACAATTCAAACAACAAACAAAGATAAAATGAATTTAATTAGAACGTATTTAAGGGAAAGGCAAGTCTGAAGAGGTGGGTTTTGTGGGCTTGTTTGAATGATGGTAGGGTGGTTGATTGTCTGATGTGGAGGGTGCAGCACCTATCACCCCAGGTCCGGAGCTTAGTCCTTCTTGTCTTTAGGGTGTTTGCACCTTGGACCTGAGGCATCATGGAGAAGTTTAAAAATGCCTTTTCTACAGTAAGAACAGAATTTACATACATGTCAAACTTTCAAAGATGTATTTTATGACCAGAATATCACTTTATACATGGTTATGGTGCCACATTATTAAGTAATAATTCCAAGTCTCAGCACAGATGTTAAGTTAAAAAAAGTGAACATAAAGTGCTCCTCAAGAATAAATTACAGCAGTGGTGCTGTCAAACCTTTATCTACTTTTTGAAGAATTAAACTCATCCATTATATTTGATCTTGACAAAACATAAAGTGTTTTTGGAGTCCCAAGGTTCTACTGCAGGATTTTAGTTTTATGAATAATGCATCTTGAGTCCAAATAGCACATTTTATTACATTTCAACTTTGATTCTACGGTTTAATGTTAACAAGGCATTTTCAATGATTACTATCCAAAACCCTGCACAATTGAAACAGTCTTACCTGATCCACCCATACTACAATCAAGTATTTTTGTCATGGAAGTGATGAAAATGAATATCAAATGTACGAGAACACATTATTATTCTAAGATCCTTGGTAGTGTTTAACACTTAGTAATGTTGCATATCAGTCAGAACAGTCCCAGTTTTGGTTGATTTATCTTTAAGTCCAGCAACAACATACTGCTTGATATACATCCAACACGTATTAAAGGGGCCCTATCACGCTCATTTTCAGGTTCATATTTGTATTTTGTGCCTCTTTTGTGACATGTTTACATGCTTTAATGTTCAAAAAGGTCTTTATAAAAACCTTACGGAGTGATGTCAATATGTCGCTATGTCAATATGTCGCTAAAATAAACAAAGGCATCCTATGGAGGCATTTCAGAGGGTGTGAGAGAGAAACTCCCGATTTTAGCCAAAAAAGCATAATAGGGCCCCCTTGAAAAAATGTATCTAAAAAGAAGATAAAGTGTTTGCATGGCCTGTTAAAAGGCCAGCAATGAAAGCATTCCCTACCGAAATAATGTTTTGGAAAGAAACTCTCTATATGAATTATCCTCTGTAACTTTATCCCACACAGTGCTCTAAACATTCACATGCCACCTGCTGCACCTCCCCATGCACCTCCTTTATGTCCTCCATGCCGAGCACCACCCCTCTGGGCAAACCTCTTCCTTCTGCCACCCCTTCAACCTCTGAAGCACTCAGCACCCGGTTCCACATCCTGAACCCTGCTATCTGACCGGCAAAACCCTCCGCAGAGTCAAACCCTCCTTCCACAACGTCCTGCTCCTGCCCCAGCACCACAGACCCTCCCCCAGGTATCTCCCAGCCCTTTCTGAAGTGAGAGCCTGAGGAGGTGAGGCGCCGGTCAACGTAGTGCCAGAAACGCCCCTGGATGGAGGACCACACGACGCAAAGGTGGTGCCAGCGAGCGTCCATCAGCGACGACACAGGGAGACGGCGATACACTGGGTCTCCAATGATGAAGTCCAGGGAGAAGGAGGAAGAAGCAGAGATGGATGCAGAAGAGGCAGAGGAGTTACGTCCATACAGAACTAACTGGTTGTCGTTGTCGTCTGTGGCGTAAGAGAGCAGTGTGCCGACATGTGAGGCTTCAACACGGAGCCACAAACACACAGAAAGTTCAGGAAGGTTGGGAAGAGTCCGGAAGAAGGTGACGAAGTTGTCTGCTGATGCCGAGGGGAAGAGCAGCAGGGAGTCCACGTTACAGACTGCAGAAAGACAGGATATATTCAGTATAATAAAACCCCTAGTGCTAAAAAGTAAAACTTAAAAGACAAGCGATCAGAAATATCTTGTTGGTAAATGATATTTGGAGGCTATGCAAATGAGTCCCCTAATACACACAATATACAACACAATTCAATAAAACTACAGACCCCTCTAGCTTCTGGAAAATCCCTGAAACAGTAATACCCATTTAACCCATAACACCTCGTTTTTTTTCAACAGTCACGAATGTTACGATGAATAAAAGGCTGTCATTATTTGTCATTGAGGTCACAGATTTGAGGTGGTATGACCTTATTCTACCTGCAAATTGGCTTAGTAGGCTGTTGTCATCTATTGGTAGTAAGTAATTAAACTACTTATTTGTCGGATAGCTTAAGTCATGAACGTACTGTATGTAACTGAAAAACACATTCTTTACCTAAATCTAACCAAGGAGTTTTGGTTGAATTCACATTTTTAACCTAGTGTTTAACACTGGAATTGTACGTTTCTGCTTACCCTGTCTAAAGTATTTTAATGTTAGTATGACTACGGATAATTGCCATTTATTGGGCAGATAACATTTAAATTGTAAGGATTAAACAAATTAGATACAACATGTAAGGTAGATTTGGTGATTTATGGACAGAACCATGCTGCCAATTTGACCACCTTCTTTGTTAATTTAAATGGGAATGTCTGTTTAACTTCCATTGTATTTCTGTGGTTTCAGTGTCGTTTGTCCGGAGAAGACATGTCGTGATTTGGCTGAGGTGCAACATGTTCATACTGTGATTATTTTGGAACCTGCTAAATAAATACTTCAAGTATCGTGAAGTATATTACTTACTGGTTGCATCCTTTTTAGGAACAGGTCGTGAAGGGATCTTGTGCCTCACAGGAAGCTGGAGGAAGTTATGGATCACTGAAGACTCTTCCTTTGTGTCAGTTTCTTCCTGAGACTCAGATTTGGGCTGAGGGATATCATCTGAACCTTTAGGCGGTGGAGGCCACGGACTGGTCGTACTCTGCCTAACTTTGTTAGGTTCAGGATAAGTTGGAGAATGGGGCAGGGGCTGGGACCAATAGGGCCGAGTGGGGTTGTGTAACTGGGGGTGTCTCTGGCGATATAACTTAGGCTGGTATCTTTGTCGTACCTGGGTATGAAGATAAGGCACAGACTGGATCTGCTCCTGCTGGATCGGGTAAGGCCTTTTCTGGGCCGGCACCTGGATCTGGGACTGGAGACCGTAAGAGTCTGGTTGGGGCGAGTAATGCAGATGAGATTCTTGCTGAGGTCTTGACTCCTTTGAATGTCTTCGGTTTATTGGTACTGACGGGTATTGAAAGGGACCTTCTACTATGGGTTCGGAGTCCAGTCTCAATCTCTCTCTCCCTCTATGTGTCTTTGATCTCCTGCGTGGTTCATAGTGTTCCTGAGATGTGATGTTGGAGTTGAACAACTCTTCCGCCCTCCACAGCGCTCCACCATCGCTCTTCTGCAAGACCTGACCCTCCAGTCGGGTCAGACGCAGCGCCTGGTTATTCAGGGATTCCTGCAGCCCTTTCAGCCCAACGATCAGCTCGTCTCGCTGGGTCTGAAGAGCACCGAGCCGTTCATCTTGGCTCTGGAGCTCCAGGGTGAGGTTGGGGATATCCTGACCAGGATCGGGCTTCTGTTTCTGGGCGTGGCGGCGGTTCTCCCTCAGGCTCCTCTCCATGAAAGCAAGACGACCCTCCATACGTTTACTCTTCTTCTCGAGCTTCCTACTCCACTCCCTGGGATGATGAGCAACATGAGAAGACTTTTTTTGAATGTTATATTCTTTATTTATTGTACTTGTCGAAAATGCATCATCTGGTACAATCAGACCTGGTCCAACTTCAAATACAAAATAAAAAATATATTTAGGCTATGAATCAACAGGGTAGATCTTCATAAATGAAAAATAAAATGTATTTTGTGTCCATTGGGAGACTACTCTGGTGTAAAGGTTGTTGTGTTTATCATTACTTCTCAAAAGAACAGATGCCAAAACGTAAGCCCTCCCACTCAAGACTAACAATTCTCCCTTGACCCAGCCCTAATGTTTTGACATCATTTATTATTAAGAAGATTTCATTTCTGTCATTTTCTGTCCTCTTTTCCAATCTTTTCTCAGCCCCCCACAAATCCTTTCTTACCAAAAACAACAAGCAGGGATTTGTCACAGATGAATCGATTTACAGATATATTTACAGAGCACCCTTTCTTAGTTAGTGTTCCCAAGCTCTGACCTGAGACCCTCTATCTCCTGCGTTGAGCTCCGCTTGAGTTGATCCAGGTCTTCTGACAAGCGTTGCCAGTTTTCGCTCAGTGCCTTTACTCGGCTCTCCAACCCCCCCGATGAGTTTCTGTTCTGGTTCTGGGCCAACATGTTCAAACGGGCCTGGGTCAGCGCCTGGAACTGCTGGAACTAACAGAGAGGAAATTTGTTTTCACAAATCCTTCTGCAGCTGTTGGTGACTAATTTGAAGGTCAGAAAAATACTGAAATACATCCAGAAGAAAAAACAAACATCCAATGCGTTCCTGTGATGACTTCTACCTTCTGAAAAATCATGATGCTTGCAAGAGTTTTTTGCTATTTCAGTAAATAAATAAGCAAAAATATCTGACCTACAGAGAGTAAATCAGTGTTTTTAGCTTTAATATTATCTCTTTCAGAACTTTTAAACATTAGAAATTAAATTTAAGCCAAAAGTCCTTCCCACACAGTCTGATTTAAACCGACCTGTTCATTGAGTCGTCGTAGTTTCTGCGACACAGGATCAACTCCCTTCACCTTAACGGGCTGAATCTGCAGCAGGAGTATGAGGACCAGGATCAGGGACCAGTGTCCGGGCCTCAGGCTGCCCATGGTGCAACGGAGCTGGGATAGATGCAGCAGGAAGCCTGGGTCTGGATGTCTGACGGTGAGGAAACAAATGCTACTAGAGAGAGAAAGACATAGCTGAAAAGGGCTCGTCTTGATAAACACTGCATACACACACATGCACACAGATGTACAATACACAAAAGCACACCCACAAACTGGGACAGGAACACACTTTTCCATTTTCCACAAAATCTTCAGGGACCTCAGAGGAAATGCAGATGGATTTAACAGGTACTCTGCTTCTCTCTCGGCCTCTATCTCACTTTTAGATAAAAACAAAGAAAATAAACTCCTAAAAACAGCACACCAACTGGAAGTTTGTTAACTGAATCTTGAATTGATAACGTTTTAGTCTTTCAACCTTTTGTTATGTCGTCCTGTCAAATTTTTGTGCTCCGGTGTAGTTATCCATTAAGGATCTGAATCTTCACCCAACCCTGTGTTTCACCTTTTATAGTAACTTTAATTAAACTTTTCTTTAAACGGAGAAAAGGTTAAATATGTTTGACTATAGTTAAGAACAGAGCAAACAAAGGAAATGGCTAATCAAAGACTTCTAAATGTCAAAGTCTTAACAGAAATTCAATCAAAATTGAACCGGGAAGACCCCAGATGCTATACATTTCAATAAAATGCCCATAATTCAATGTAAGTAGTGACTATTATTTGTTCTTGCAAAGAAGGTAAAGAACCATCTATGTAATTTTCAGCTCAATAATATTAAAGAACCATTTTTTCTGACAAAAAACATAATTTAGAAGGACAACAGGAGTGTTAATGCTTTATGTCTGTACGATTGATTGTTTGATAAGGGAAGGCTGTGGCTCAGTGGGTTACTGCTCAGTGGGTTAGTGTGCTGATCTTCGAATCAGAGGATAGCAAGTTTGAGTCCCACTGCAGTCAGCATGTCGTTGTGTCCCTGGGCAAGACACTTCACCCCAAATTGCTCCTGTGGGGATTGTCCACAGTATTGAATGTGTGGAAGTCGCTTTGGATAAAAGCGTCTAACAAGTGACATGTAATGTAATGTAATGATAAAGTGTATATTTGTATTAGTGTGTATGTTTGTATACTTGTGTGTGAAGTGCCAATACAACAGTTAATGATGTGTGGGCTGATGGAGAAGAAGTCACTTTCCTCTTCCCCCTGACTCAGTGCAGGGGGATCTGGATCCTTTATTATTCTTCTGCTTTCTCATTAAATAACACAATCTAGGAATCATGTTTATTCCTCCCTTCTGCTTTCTACACATGACCACGTTGCAACACGTTGGGTTCATTTACTGCACACTGGGCTTCAAAAAAGTTCTACAGCGTGTTGTAATTTACAGTAAATTGTATATTTCATATTGCTTTTCTCTGGATGCTCTATAGATAAATATCCTTCTGTTGATTTGTATATTATTACTGTGTGTGTTTACTTTTTATTTTATTATAATGCCTTGTGAACATGCTGCTGTAACAAAGCTTTTCCCAATCTGGGATCAATAATGTTTGTCTAATGTAATCGAATCGAATCTAATGTGATATCTGCCTCACGTGTGTTTTTTATTGAATCGGAAAATAGTCAATATTTTTAAGTCAGCATTCAGTGTGTTTATTCCACAAATGTGTGATCATTATATTTTAATCAATGTAAATGAAATGGGACTAAAGTGCTTCATTCAAAGTCATTCTGAACAGATTAAAAAGTACGTCTTTGGTCATTTTGAAAGTAATTATATTTGATAAATAACATTAAAAGTTAAAGGTGGGGTAGGTAAATTTGAGAAACCGGCTCGAGATACACTTTTTGTTATATTCCATGGAATGCTCTTAACATCCCGATAGCAATGAATATCTTAAGTGCTTTGACAAAAAATCCATTACAAAATGTCATCTGTGGAAGCTGTAGTACTGTGAAAAGTACGACCAATCATTTTAGCCGGCCCGGCTAAAATAACTGGATGGCCTACCTGCCTGTCAGCCTTCCATCTGTGCACAAACTTATCTCGTGCCCTCATTGGTCATGTGCGCGTTCGTGTGTGTTGGAGGAGGGGCTCTGTAAGGAAGTGGCAGATTTTCTCCGGCTGTGTATTTTCAAATTCTAGCACACTCGAGCTGGTTTCTCCAAAATTACCTACCCCACCTTTAATAAAAGAAGCACATTTGTATAAATTATATTATTATTTTTTTTTTAAGTTTGCAAATATTACTACAGTTACTCAGTTATTTATTGAAAATGTTAAATAATTCACACTATTCATTCCAGTTGAGTTTCACTTGTGGAAGTCCAGTGACACAGATTTCAGTTTCAGTTTAGTTATGGCCTCATGTAGCTTGCCTCTGTCTGATTCATTCAGTCTGAGTGGAAACCCTGGACAACACACAGGTCTGTCTCTTAATATTTCAGTTTTTAGACAAAATTGTCTTCATTTTAACTTGTTTGGTTTCATTTTTAACCACATTTGTTGGAAGCTTGATTTCCACATTGATACGTTTTTGTCTGACTATTTATAACATTACATCCTCTTTGTAAAGGGGAACGAACAGATCCTGAAACAGAGGTCACAAATCACGTTGGATTTGATAACCTCTGTGTGACAGTCTCCTGCTGCAGACATGGCTGAAAACACTCCACTGCTGAAAGGAAGATCAACATCATCTGAATCCAAGGTAGGAAACATTTCTGTTAGTTTATTGATTTTAAAATCTCATCAAAAGCATATATAGCTACCCTAACATTGATGTATTGGAGCTTTAAGATACATTCTTTGTAACATGTTAAGGGATAAAGGTCTAAATGAAAGGGTGCAGTTTACCAAGGATATTCCAGACAAATCTGTACTGTTATTATGCATATTTTTATTTTGCTCGTAAATACGTTTGATGTAAGTTAAATAGTTCACAAATATCAACATTTCATGACTTATTGAAGTTTTCATTGTAACATTAAGTAAAACCTACGGACCAGTGCTACAAGAAAACAGGAAAATAGCAAATATAAAGTATAATTTGTGCTATTTGAACAATGTTTTTAGAGTGAGTAATGGGCATAGCAAGAGTTTTTAGGGACCTCAGTAACCTGTTGCAGTTGTTTGTGTGTCTAAGGGAAATACACAGACTTATACTGCTGATATAGCAAAAGTAATGTGCCCTGACACAATATGAAGCCACATCATGTGAGCGCTGCTTTCTGATTAAACTGCTGCAAATATTTGGTTCGGGTTACAACATTAGAATTCATAGAAAAGAGCTACCTAAGATGGTCAAGAACTCGACTTCTTAGACGTCTATCTGATGTGTGACTATTAGATTGATATAAGCCACGATATAAATGTAACACTCAATGTTTGTGAAACTGGTCTACGAGAAGATCTGAGGTAAAATAAGGCTAGAATGGTGAATTACAGACATAACACATTCTTGATGTACATGTAATAAAACAACTAAATCACTAACTTGGCTCGACTGAGTGAAAACTAATAATAAACTTGGGTCATGAGGCAAATTTCACACCATTTTCATCTCAATTATCCTGCTGAATGCGTGGATGAGGGCAATACAATGGTCAAATGTTATGTAATTGTTGCAATTTCCCAGAGATCAGCTTGGTCGTCATGCAGACGATGCTGCGATGCGTTTATCCGGGTTAACTGTGAATAAAACTGTGAAAATAACACACTTCTCTTCTGTGTGCTAGAGAAAAATCATGGAAATCCACAAGACACAAAATGTATGTTGCTGACACTGATATTTACTTTAATTTTAAAGGAAGGGTAAATTGAAAGATCCTTCTAATTGAAACTTTCCCTTCAACCTTAACCTATCTACCCTTTGATCGTGCCTCGTGTGTATGAAGTTTATACTCTGAGTTTCAGCTTCCAAATCCTTCTGCCGCAGATCAATGACTCCAAACTGTATCTGGCTGTCTTCTCGGCCATCTTGGGGAACTTCAGCTTCGGTTACTCCCTGGTTTACTCGTCACCGGTCCTGCCCCAGCTCCAGAGCCCCGATGTGGACCCTCGGCTCAGGATGGGTAAGGAGCAGGCCGCCTGGTTCGGCTCCATCTACACCCTGGGAGCAGCCGCCGGGGGGCTGGGGGCCATGCTGCTCAACGACCTGATTGGACGGAAGCTGAGTATCATGACGTCAGCAGTGCCGTCCACTATTGGGTGGGTTTCTGTTGCAATACAGCCATCTCAAAGATTCAAAGATTCAAAGGTTTTATTGTCATATGCACAAAGCTACAGTGTAGAAATGGCAATGAAATTCTTCTGACCTGAGCTCCTCCAACAATGCAACATATATAATAAAATACAAAAATACAAAATAAAAAGTAGTGCAAAAAGTCTATAGCCTATACATGTCAATACAATATGGAATTTGTACAAGAACAAGATTATGAAATTAAATAATGTAAATTAAGATTCAATTAAATACGGTTTATTGCGGTGATAACTATTTATATAAATTAGTATATTGCAAGATGACAAACAGGAATGTTTATCGGGGCACTTAACAGAGCTCAGGTGTTTAGCAGTCTTATGGCCTGTGGGATAAAACTGTCCCTGAGTCTGGTGGTTTTTGTGCGGATACTGCGGTAATCTATAATGTAATCCATCAAACTGTATTGTGTTTGTTTTTTTATTCCATTGGCTTGCTACCCCAACACATTGTAGGCTAAGTGGCAGGACATCTCTAAGCATTTGACCAATCACAACAGAGCTGTCCAGCTAACCAATCAGAGCAGACTGGGTTAAATACATAAAGTGCTTTTTGACCATTAAAACATGTAACCATGTCACAGTAGAAGCACAAAGTACAAATATGAACCTCTCTGAAAATGATCTTCTGTTTAAATGTAGTTACTTGCTGATGGGAGGAGCTTCGGACTTCTGGATGCTCCTTTTGGGCCGTTTCCTCACAGGTGTTGCCGGGGGGATGACGGCAGGATCAATACCTGTAGGTTACCATCGTTACAGGAACTTATTCATAGCCATGCAAATTGTCCTCTTTTTTGTTCCTGTTACCTCAGTTTAATCAGAGTTTGATATGTCAGTTGTGACAATTTAATTTGAGTGCTACTACCTGTATTAATACTGGGTTATTGTAAATGTGTGTGTTTCTTTTGTGTGCTTATGTGACAGGTTTACATCTCAGAGATCTCCCATAAAAGAGTGAGAGGGGCTATGGGCTCCTGCCCTCAGATCACCGCTGTGACTGGGGCCCTGGTGCTCTACGCCCTGGGTAGGAACATACCAATAGGCCTGCATACCATAATACTCACACATTTCTTTCATGAACTGTTCAATTCTGAGAGTTTGACGTGCAGGTCTGGTGTTACGGTGGCGGTGGTTGGCGGCGGTGGGGGGGGTCCCGGCTCTGCTGATGGTCGTGCTTCTGGTGTTCATGCCCAACTCCCCCAGGAGGCTCATCAAACTGGGGAGGGAGCAGCAGGCGGAGAAGGCCCTCCGGTGGCTGAGGGGGGAACACTATGACACACAAGTGGAGATCAATGACATACAGGTACTGAGAAAACCACTTAAATAGTGCAAAAGACACTAAATAAGTGACACTTTACAGCCTGTGGGGTAAAACTGTCAGGTGTTTTTTGACGTTACTGCGATACCCGCTGCTTGAAGGCTGCAGACTAAAACTTTGTTTCTGGGGTTATGGAGGTCTTTAATAATCCTGTTAGCCTTCTTCCTACAATGCTGGGTGTAGAGATCCTCCAATAATGGCAGCTCTGTCATTGGAGGACGTGAGCAGTTTTTGTGAGCAATTTTGAAGGACACTCAACTTTGTTTTTCTGTCTCCCAATGTAGCACAGCATCAACACACAGGCTAAAGTCACATGGTCGCAGCTGGCCACACCCGTGTACTACCGGCCAATCCTCATCTCAGTGGGGATGCGTTTCCTGCAGCAGATGACGGGCATCACACCCATCCTGATCTACATGGAGCCCATCTTTGCCAAAAGCAAAGTCTCCCTGCCTGCCAGGTTGGGCATTTAAAAAAATCTATATATATACCTACTAAGGCGCAGTGGATAGAGCCTTGGTGTTCGGATCAGGGGGTCACAGGTTCAAACCCCACTGCAGTCAGCATGTCGTTGTGTCCCTGGGCAAGACACTTCACCCCAAATTGCTCCTGTGGGGATTGTCCACAGTATTGAGTATGTAAGTCGCTTTGGATAAAAGCGTCTAACAAGTAACATGTAATGTACTATTTATCTGCAGTAGGCCTATTGTTTGGGATTCCTATATTATTATTTAATTGTCATGACTCATGGAAGTGTTGCTGTTTTCAATGCTTTTAGAACATGTGCTTTATAAATAAAGAAATACACTCAGAGTTTGGGCCAACCCTAACCATAAATATTACTTGCGTAACATAACATTTCTTATTTAGACAGATATTATTTGTACCCGGGTGAGTATAGTCAAGACTGCTATTTGCACCCGGGGTCTATCCATTCCTAACCCTAAATCTAATTGCATTTAACCATGATGATACAAACTGCCTTAAGTACATTAGCTTTTCATAAACCGAACCAATGTAAGTGTCATTGCATTGGCTTTAAATGTATTATCAGCCAAGGTAAAGGCTGAACTAAACTCAACTACGAAGAAGATTCTAACTTCAATTAACATAATTATCTTTAATCACAAATCTTCAACCCAACAATGGTTCACATACTGACCTTTCTCGTTTGGTGTTTGTCAGGTATGATGCCGCCATTGTTGGAGCGTTCCGCCTCTTCGCTGTTGCCGTGGCAGCCAGTCTGATGGACAGGGCGGGACGCAAAGCCCTGCTGTACACGTCGAGCCTGTTGATGTTTCTGTCCAGTCTGACTCTTACCATTATCTCCCACACCACACCATGCCCTCCAGGCCCCGCCCCTCTTAACCTCACTACGAGCTTAGACTACATCTCCCATGATGCCATTGGAAGCGCTTTGGACGCCAGCCAGCAAACTTCAGCAGGCCTCATTCCTCTCATCAGCACCATGGTGTTTATTTTTGGTGAGTGTTGAAAGCTATCTTCCTTTGATGAAACATTTTGTTTCACCTAATCACAACTTTGGTTTCAGACAATATTCATGCTTTTTAGGGTTATCCCTGTCCTGTAGTGTGTTATACAGGTTGTTGTACATGTAAATGTTCTGCAAAGACTAAAGTTTCTCTCCCACATTCCCCCCCCCTGCCTGAAACGCCTCCATTGGACACTTTGTTTACTTCCGTAACAGAGTGACATCACTATGTAACACTCATGCTTCTATTGGCTAGCGCTCCAACACATTGTATGTGATTGGCTAAGGGCTGGGACATCCCTAAGGTTTGAACCAATCACAACAGAGCCGGCCAGCTAACAAATCAGAGCAGACTGGGCTCTGGTTTCAGACAGAGGGTGAAAAAAGGTGCTGCAGCACAGGCAGTATGAGAAAAATAAAGAGCCGTTGAACATTAAAGCATGGAGACATGTCCCAGTAGAGGCAGAAAATAAAATACAAGTTACATTTGAAAACCCTGAAGGCATTTGTGTTAAAATTATTGTGATTATAGAAACGTGTTTTTATGTGATTGTAGTTATTACATGTACAGCACTTTGGCCCGACCAAAAATCGCTTTTAAATGTGCTTTATAAATAAACCTTGATTTGATTTGATTTGATTTGATTTGAAAATATTTAACGAAGCGCGTTCTGTTTGTAGAAGATTACCTTCTGTCGTGTTCAAACAAGTTATGACAGTTCATGCTCTCAGGGCATTGTTACACACAGTTTGTTCTTGAAGAACTGCTTTCTGTTACACGTCAACACCCACATGTGGTTTGTGCTCTTCACTTCAATTGGTCAATTATGTTAGCACACCTTGCTTAATGAGAAAACATTTCAAACTTTTCAGCGTGGTTGTGTGATTTCCTAGATACACGGATATCAATCAAGACTTTATGTCATAACAGATAACAATAGCAATAGACTTTCAAGATTTTTCTTTATTGTCTAAGTTCACAAATGCAACAAACAACATTTTTTATAGACAGAAGTGTTTTGCATAACAAAATACATACGTTTTAAGCTGTGTTATCAAATATGTTTTGCGGCTCCAGACAAACTTAATTTTGTGACAAAGGGGGCAAAATTGCTCTTTTGATAGTAATGTTTGTTGACCCTTGAACTTTGTCAACGATCTCCTGAGGCAGCCAACAAATATAACGCTATCAACTGTCCAAAATCTCAACTAAAAGAGGGAACATAATTAGTTGAGTACATTTTTTCAATAGAATAAAACAAAGAGCATAAGCAAAACAAAGCATGATGTGACCGAGCCCTAACGGCTTTCTGGGCTTTTGTTGTGCAACGACATCATCTTTGTCATCCTATTGTTGTCTCCTAGGATACGCCATGGGATGGGGCCCGATCACATGGTTGCTAATGTCGGAGGTGTTGCCGCTGGTAACCAGGGGCGTGGCTTCAGGTCTGTGTGTGGCCGTCAGCTGGTTGACGGCCTTCGCCCTCACGCAGGCCTTCGTTCACCTGGTGGAGGACTACAGCCTGTTCGTGCCCTACCTGTGTTTCACCGTGGTGTGTGTGTTCTGCCTGCTGTTCACCGCCGTGTGTGTCCCAGAGACTCGAGGTCGATCGCTTGAGGAAATAGAGAATTATTTCAGGACAGGAGGGACATTCACCATCACCCGGAGTCCTTCCACTGAACAGACGTAGAGATACAAATATATATATTGTTACCATGGGATATCTCTAAGAAAGGGCTAATGTAGAGGGTTTTTAATTTAATATATAACCAGTGGTGGAATGTAGTGAAGTACATTTATTCAAATACTGCAGTATAATGTTACTTTACCTGAGTATTTCATATGTTATGCTACTTTTTACCTCTACTCCATACATTTTTAAAAGCCAATATCGTACTTTTTTGTCCATGACAGCTTTAGTTATTTTACAGATTCAGATTATTACGTAATACAAAATATAAATGAACTCATAATGATGATGTGTTCATTGAACAGCGTTGGAAATGTACAAGCTACACAGCAGTATAAACAAGCTATTATCCATTATGACTAATTTATGTACTTTAAGTTTATTTGATGCCAACATGTTCTTTTAATCAAACTTTGGATGCAAGAGTATAAGCACTTCTACACTGTGGTATTGCAACATTTACATAAAATATCACACAAGTACTTTTTAATCATACACCTCGAACACAAACCGGGTAATCTAATCACTGATGTAAATGCCATGTACAAACAAGACCTGAGGGTTATGTAGGGTTCATAATTTAAAAGCAGATCTGATAAATAGCAAGGCCAAAGACCACAATATCCTCAAATATGTAATAACCATGTGAACAAACAGGTTGCCAGCTGTCTGAAAAGAATCTTGGTTCATCAACTCCTCTAAATGAAGACAGGAAGTGACGTTCCTGGCCCAGCGGTGGCTGAGCAGGACAGGTCACATGCCACAGTCTGGACTCACTGTCTGACTCAGCCAGCATGTACTTTCCTGCCCCATCTTCATAGTTGCTTAGCAGCAGGGCTCATCATTATTATTTAATACACTCTATTTTGATTCCTTCATTCAGAATAATGGGTAAAAATTAGGACGCATCTGTAGATACTAGAAAATAATTCATCATCAAAGGTACTGATGGGGATGTGAATGCACACCCTCAATATTTACACTAACCTTTAATACTTTAGTAATTTAATTGATTGTATTATGATGTAAGGTGGTCCTTTTATTTTGTCTATACACTGTTTTTAAAAGGTACATTTGAGGGGATGGATCGAATTCAGTATTATGCAATCATATTCAATTCTGTCTGGTCTGTACACTGTTTGATTGACATGTTGAGTCTGTCAAAGAAGGGAAGAGACAACACAGGTTTCGGTGTGTGTGTGTGTGTGTGTGTGTGTGCGTGTGCGCGTGTGCGCGTGTGCGCGTGTGCGCGTGTGCGCGTGTGTGCGTGTGTGTGTGTATCTCGTGAGCTGCACCTTTCTAAAGCTGTGTGTTCATAGTCATGTCAGTCGATAGAATAGCTTTAGCGTAGCATTAGTGTCGGAATGTTTACTTGGTAAACCATTGTGTTCCTACACATACAACAGTACATATAAGTCAAACCTTTTCAATGAATTGCAGTAACAACAGTATTACCCCATTGTGACATTTCATGTTCTGAATTCACAGTCACAACCATTTTTTTTATAACGCCTACATGTATGAAATAGATGGCTGTATACAGATAGAAGATTACTGCTAATGTGGTTCATTTTTGGATCCTCGCTATAATGTAAAAATAGGGCAGTGTTTGCCATCTCTTCACTCAGGTATTTTTCCAGAGGCCCTGAAAACTGCAGTCATTAAACCGCTCTTAAAAAAGAATAATCTAGATGCCTCAGTAATGAACAATTACAGGCCAATATCAAACCTGCCATTTCTAGGTAAAATCATTGAAAAAGTTGTATTTCAACAGTTGAGTAACTTCTTGCATTTAAATAACTGTTTGGATGTGTTCCAGTCAGGATTTCGTCCAAACCACAGCACTGAGACTGCTCTTGTAAAGGTCTTCAATGACATCCACTTAAACACAGACAGTGGCAGAACTTCAGTGTTAGTATTATTAGATCTCAGTGCTGCGTTTTGACACTGTTGACCACAACATATTACTAGACCGACTAGAAAACTGGGTGGGACTTTCGGCAACAGTTCTAAATTGGTTTGAGTCCTACTTAAAGGACAGAAAAAACTTTGTTTCTATAGGTAAATACACATCTGAGTTGACAAATATGACATGTGGGGTACCTCAAGGCTCCATCTTGGGGCCTCTTCTCTTTAACATCTACATGCTACCACTGGCTCAGATAATGAAAAACAACAAAATAAGTTACCATAGCTATGCGGATGACACACAAATTTACGTAACAATTTCACCAGGAGATTATGCTCCAATTCAAACACTGAGTAAGTGCATTGAACAAATCAATGACTGGATGTGTCAGAACTTTCTCCAATTAAACAAAGATAAAACTGAGGTAATGGTTTTTGGAGCCAAGGCAGAACGTATAAAAGTTAGCGCTGAGCTTCAGTCTGCAATGTTCAAAACAACAGATAAAGCCAGAAATCTAGGTGTAGTCATGGACTCTGACCTGAGTTTCAACAGTCACATTAAAACAGTTACTAAATCAGCCTACTATCACCTAAAGAACATATCTAGGATTAAAGGACTAATGTTACAGCAGGATTTGGAAAAACTTGTCCATGCTTTTATCTTCAGTAGACTCGACTACTGCAATGGTGTCTTTACAGGTCTCACTAAAAAATCTATTAGAAAGCTGCAGCTAATTCAGAAATCCGCTGCTCGAGTCCTCACTAACACTAAGAAAGTGGATCACATCACTCCTGTTCTGAAGTCCTTACACTGGCTTCCTGTGTGTTAAAGAATAGATTTCAAAATATTGTTGCTGGTTTATAAAGCTTTGAATGGTTTAGGCCCAAAATACATGTCTGACCTACTGCTAAATTATGAACCATCCAGAACTCTCAGGTCATCAGGGACTGGTCAGCTTTCTGTCCCCAGAGTCAGAACTAAACATGGAGAAGCAGCGTTCAGTTATTATGCTCCAAATATCTGGAACAAACTCCCAGAAACCTGCAGATCCGCTGCAACTCTGACTACTTTTAAATTCAGGCTGAAGACTTTTCTTTTTGCCGCTGCTTTTAATTGAACTATTCACATCTTAAACTGCACTGTAACTTTTAACTTTTATCCATGTATTTTTTCTTTTAATGTTTATTTTATTATCTTTTCTTTTTAATGACTGATTTTAAATGCCATTTTCATAATGTCTTCCATTTTTGTAAAGCACTTTGAATTGCCTTGTGTTGAAAGGTGCTATATAAATAAACTTGCCTTGCCTTGCCTTGCCTTGCCTTGCCTTGCCTTGCCTTGCCTTGCCTTGCCTTGCCTTGCCTTGCCTTGCCTTGCCTTGCCTTGCCTTGCCTTGCCTTGCCTTGCCTTGCCTTGCCTTGCCTTGCCTTGCCTTGCCTTGCCTTGCCTTGCCTTGCCTTGCCTTGCCTTGCCTTGCCTTGAAATGTACAGTATCTCTTTAAATAATGATCACAGTGTAACCAAACTCGGACAGGATGTACACAGACAATCAATTCATGCAATAAATCAATTGTTTCATCAATACACTGTCAATCTCTGAGGTTTCTATACTTATTATAGGCAGAAAATGGAATAGGAAATTCTAAATGAAAATGGATGCCAATACAGAATATCTATCATTATTAAAGTGGGGTGACTAATCGCTAAAATATGTAACAGGAAACTATAGTGCTGCCAACACTTCAAACCTAACAGTGTTTTAATTGTGTGAAAGGAAGGATACAAACCATAGATGCATCCAAAAAGCAAAACATAGTATAATTATATGTACAAACCTATCCTTGTCATTCTAAATACATATTTTCTTAACACAAATAATTTAAATAACAAACTGAATATGATGAGCCAAGAGGCTGAACTATACAATATTTTCAATGTATTTGTTTCAAAAGTGTTGACTGAATGAATTGGAATAATCCATGATATATCAATAATTGAATCGTGAATAATCAATTACTAATAGTATAGATATACTCTGAGGCCCTCCAAACGTGTGTATGCTTTACATAGCCTATTCACTTATTTCACTATTTCACTTTTTTTTTTTAACTATTCCTTTCTTTTTGCAGTTACTTTTAATATTTACTTGCACTATATTTTTCTGTTTTTCTGTAATATTGTGTTGCACTGTTGGAGAAGCCTGTGACTTAAGAATTTCATCGACATAACAACTAGCTATGGTTGTATGACCAATAAAGAACCTTGAGCCTTATGGTTTCTCCGCTCAAATCAAGGATACAAAAATGACATGTATGGATATTCCTACTTTTTAGCATTTACCTTGTTTTTCCATAGCATACATTAAAATGATTTAATTTTCTGAGATTCTGTTCAAAAGGGACGTTCCTTGTTATATTTAAAAAGAGATAGCAATGCTATTGTTAAACGAATAGCCACTCAATCAGGAGCTGATACGAATGTGTTTTTTACTATCATCTTCTGTATGTTTACTAGACCAATAAAATAAACCTTTTATGAGACAGTTCATGCAGTTTGTTGAGCTTGTCCTTAAGGTTAATCACCTTGCCAGACACATTCCTGGAATAAGTAATACCGCAAGGGTGATAATAAACACAGATAGTCTACTGCTAAAGATGCATGTTGCCTTGGTAGATATGCATCTCTCAAATGAATTAGCCAATATGTGAGCATGTGTGGTATGCTGGTGCAGTTAAGGGAGGTGATTACTTCATCAAGTATTAGTCAATTTAGCCAAACGTTGCTTCTTTTTTTAGGGGTGAAATTTCACACTGCATCCAAACAAGATCTTGACAGAAAAGGTTATTAAAAGATCCTTTGCAGTGTACAGCGTGATGGCCCTCTCTCATAAAGCATATGAGACTGGGTAAAATAAATCTGATTCACGTAAAATATTAATTTAAAGCAATAATGACATTATTGTTGTACATGACATGACATATATATTCTAACAAAACAGGAGTCCTCCACTTGAAAGGGTAACACAACTTAATTAGAATGATTAAAACACTGGTATGAAAGCGTCTTTGACATCAGAATCAGAATCAGAATCAGAATCAGAATCAGAAACGGGTTTATTGCCAGGTAGGTTCACACATACGAGGAATTTGAATAATCCATGATAATATGGCGTTTCATCACGGCAGTATTTAGTTTAGACAGTAGCTGCCGGGTCCCGGATGAGCTCAGCCCCCTCCTTTATTTTTTTTAAAGCTTTATACCCCAAATCAGCACTTTTGAAACAGGAAGTGAAATAGAGGGATATTAGGCATGGCTAGAATGGGTGATCTGTTTGGTATTTTGAGCAAAACACTTCATAGACATGTTTTTTATGTATTTGTATATATCTGAGACCTATGCTATTGCCTAAAAATAGCATGATAGGTGCACAAATATGTCCCAGTTTATACAAAACATCCTAACACACACAAACACACCTCAGTCTTTATACGGAATCTAAATCTCTGTAGAGATTGGTCTATTCTCTGGAATGTTGTTCATCAGGCCCATCGAAACACACACTCACAGACAACATGCACCCTCCTCGACCAGTTGACATTATTTATGAGCAGAGGCAACACCCCACACTGTCACACACACATGTAGCTTCTTCAGTCGATGTGTTTTAGGGTGAACAATTGGGAAAGAGTATGATGTTATTGGGTCATTATAACAGAGCAAGAAAAATAAAAACCCTCATGGTTTAGTCTGCGATTAGAAATGGGCTCTGGGTTGGGAGGTCAGTGATTCTAACCAGTTCACATGGAAGCCATTTTTTATTACAACATTTGTCCAGCTTCCCTCAACATACATGTAGGTTTTTTAGGCAAGGCACTCCCAGCCCCCAGCAGATCTATGTGATCCAGTGACAAACAGCAGAAAAAAGGTTGTGCAACTGGCCTGCTCCCCGGCTGAAAATGAAAACCTTCCCAGACTTCTTTTGAGTTTTGAACTTAATGACGTGAACATTACAAAAGGAAACTCAGGCAAGTTTGTACCATCCAAATAAAACAAAATGTGTAGCTTCCACGAGGCAAAATGAAATCAAAAGACAATTTGGCATCAATTAATGCAGTGTGCATATTATATTGCATAACCTCCTAACATTGTTCCCCACCTCCTAGTATTGTATTGCAGCCCATTTTATGAGACAGTTCATGCAGTTTGTTGCGCTTGTCCTTAACGTCAGGTTAATCACCTTATCAGACACATTCCTGGAATAAGTAATACCGCAAGGGTGATAATAAACACAGATAGTCTACTGCTAAAGATGCATGTTGCCTTGGTAGATATGCATCTCTCAGATGAATGAGCCAATATGTGAGCATGTGTGGTATGCTGGTGCAGTTAAGGGAGGTGTTTACTTCATCAAGTATTAGTCAATTTAGCCAAACGTTGCTTATTTTTTCAGGGGTGACATTTCACACTGCATCCAAACAAGATCTTGACAGAAAAAGTTATTAAAAGATCCTTTGCAGTGCACAGCGTGATGGCCCTCTCTCATAAAGCATATGAGACTGGGTAAAATAAATCTGATTCGCGTAAAATATGAATTGAAAGCAATAATGACATTATTGTTGTACATGACATGACAATGAATGCAGTGTGCATATTATATTGCATAACCTCCTAACATTGTTCCCCACCTCCTAGTATTGTATTGCAGCCCATTGACAAAAAATATTTTTGTCATTTACTTTTCTTTTTTTTTTTCTGCA